CAGAGCATCAAAGTTGGTAAAATGGACGACACTATATCACATGACGAATTAGAATAAAAGAAAAATCACTGGTTTTGTTTCATTTTTGTTATCACAAGTACCCTTTAAAAATCAATTCCTTCTGCCAAAAAACTGTATTTTGTGAATATTATTACGACTTAGTATACCAGAAACGACATTTGTTCGTTTCCGAGCGAGTAAGTCGCTAACGGATAGTCTCATCGAATAGCTGAAGTATTAAAACAATTGTAAAATATTAGTTATATTCAGAAATAGAATTGTTTCTTTTCGTTTGAAATAACTATTACTTATGATATTACAACAATACTATTGTATAATATGATTATTACAATCTACTTCACTTAATATTTTTGCCAAGTTTTATGCCATGTATCATGGCTAAATAAAAAAAAAAGGGCATTCATGATTTTTCACTCATAATGGGGGCTAAATTGACTACAGAACGAACGCGAAATTTTTCATTTTCCGGTGTAACAGCAAAAAACGTTCTTTTGTGACTACTTCATTAGTCTCCGCTATCAATTGTTCAAATCCCCAGCTCCGATTCGATTAAATTCACAGGATTTCATTCAAGCAACTGCAGATAATACTAAAAGTTCGAAAACGGAATAATAAAAAAAATGCCACTATTTACAATCAAAATTATTTTCTTCAGGATATAGTTGAATTGAAACTTTTCTCTTATTGCTGTCGATAACTAAAACATCCGGTCATGTTGCCAGCCTTCCATAATAACAGGAACAAACAGAGACCTTTATCCTTTCCAATATCGTACAAGGTGTCCACAAAATGCTAATCTATTTTCCAGAAATTGTTAAAAGAAGGACGAAACTCCAAGGGGATGTTGTTAAAGGAGTATTTTAATGCGCAACTCAAACAATTGTCTGCCACCTGTTCCACCGAACGAAATTAGATTTCTTTGCTTGAGGGTTTCTCGAAATTCACCTGCATCGCCGAAGAATCGAGAATTTCTGTCGTAACCAATGGCCAGGGATTACTCCACGGATGCTGGAAAATGTTGTCCACGAAACAGTTAATCAATTTGATGTCAATACTAAGATATCGACGATACTCACGTGGAATCCAATAATTTATTTTTTTTCCTCCTATTTATGGCAAACAGTGGAAGAAATCGTTTGATCTGCACATGAAAATATTCCTTTAACACTAAAACTACCAAAGCAGTAGTTAGTATGCTCAGATAACAATCATTAAAATGTTACAGCAATTTGTTTTCTCGGATCTTTTACAACGGTAACTATGTATTTTTGTACCCATATACCCTAATACTTTTTTACTTAGAATCCAACACTTTCCACCTGCACAGTCAACTTTTACCCATTACAATGAAAAAACTGAAGGTGACCTTCATCTCTCGATACAAAACCAAAATACCAACAAACTAATCACCACATCGTATAGCCCTTTCGACGCCACACAACTGTCATTTGAAACATTTGTTCGTCTAACAAACAGTTCACAAACAATTTAGGAAGCACACTTAGCAGAATCACCCTGTATATACGTTCGGTACTTTTAAAATTTCGTTCCTCAACAATTCCGATAAAATACACAAGGATTTTGTTGACACTCTGTATAACATATTAATATCAAAGTAGTTCCGACAAATGTTCACAGGTCTACGAGACAACGATTCACGAAAAAACTTCTTTTCGCTCCGATTGCCATCACGATCGTTTTTCGTCCTGCAGCCATCGTCCGTGATAACCAAAACGCTTGCACGGTAACGGGTTAGCATTGAATGGTCGCCGTTTCCGTGATCACACCCGAATAATTCGGTGAAACACGTAGTCGTGAAACAGTCGGGGATGCGATGACGTGAACGGGATGACAGACCGGGCGTGTCCCGTGGTAATCCAATAGAAGGCGTCTCTTAATTAAAAATCGTGAAATCCAGGCCCGTGTTTTGTCCCTTTGTTATGACTCTCGTCATTCCTCGTCTACCCTGAACTTCAGTGGAGAATCGTGTATGTGTGAAATGCGTCCACGGTTTTTTCCCATAGTGTCGTTGAAAAACGATCGGCCGGGACAACCATCGTTCCCGTCCGCCATTATTCCGTGTCTATACGCTGTTGCGCGAGTTCTCGTTCAGGTGCACGCATGACCGTATATGCTGTGTGTTCTTCTCTTCTTTCTACGTTACCCCAGCCTATATTACTCCGTTTTATTATTCTTCTCGTGTCTTTCATTTTTGTTTTATGTACTGGTGGACCGTCCCGTCCGAATTTACCACCTCGAATATTCCATTCAAAAGAGGTTTCATATGGGTGCTACGGCGACTTCGTATGGACCATAGTACAGCGATGAAATTGCAGTGAATTGCAACGGTGACGGATGTAGAATTAGCGAACGATGTGTCGCCGTAAATGTATGCCGTTTCAGGTGTGCTTTATCATTTAAACATTGTTTCTTTTTAATTTCTTTTTCGAGATGAAAGCCGTTTGAAGGGCATTTTGTTTTATCTTCGTCAGAGTACGTTTTCTAGCAGGGTAATTCTAGATTCTTTTAAGGACGTCAGTGTGACGTCAGTTTTGGGTTCTTTGGCAAGGTGGCAGAAATTATTACACTTTTTCTGATAGCTAAACTCTGTTTTTAATTCTTTAAAACGCACTTTTAAAATGAGCGTTGCAACGGTGCAACACTTTAAAAGGTTAAGAAGCTTGGATTCGTTTCAAAAAGACTGAATTTTCCCTTACAGCCCATACTTTGTCAAATATCGTTTTGCATAAAAATCCGCAGTCTAACGATGATATTTGACATTACACCAAAGAGATACGAACGAATTTATTATGCACAACCTAATAAAATTCAAATCCATCTTTCATGAACGTGTTTCTTTTTTTGTTCTTTCCATTTGACGTCGTTGGTGCCTCGATCGAAAAATTGGCAGTAACACTTGGCGCGAGGCGGTATGCGGCGGGTCACTGCGTGCTACAAGATTGTTGAACTGTAAAGCACGGTACACGAACAAAGAGAGTATGTGTATACCAGGGCGGAGTGCACACACATTGAAGTCTCTTATAAGTTTCATTGTTCATGGTTTTCGCGCATGCATGCATAAACACTGACGTGCAAACTCAGCATCCGCTAGGAGAAAAAGTATTGTGAGGAAAGGGCCTTTTACCACTTGATAAATTTATTTCAAGCACTGAAATATATGTCAAATCGAATGTTAATTTGGCATACATTTCAGTAATTCCCAATATCAACTGGTAGGAAGCTCTTTCTCTACACCCTTTTTTCCACTAGTGGAAACTGAGTTTGCTCACGAGGGTACACTGACGTGCAATTTCTGTTTCTGCTAGGGGGAAAAGTGACGTAAGAGAAGGGCCTCCTACCACTTCGTAAATTTATTTCAAGCACTGAAATAAATATTAAATCGAATGTTACTTTGGCATACATTTCAGTAATTCCCAATATCAACTGGTAGGAAGCTCTTTCTCTACACCCTTTTTTCCACTAGTGGAAACTGAGTTTGCTCACGAGGGTACACTGACGTGCAATTTCGGCTTCAGCTAGGGGAAAAAGTGGCGTAAGAGAAGGGCCTCCTACGACTTGATAAATTTATTTCAGGTACTGAAACAAATGTCAAATCGAATGTTAATTTGGCATAAATTTCAGCAATTCCCAATATCAACTGATAGAAGCATGGTAGGAAGCTCTTCCTCTACGCCACTTTTTCCCCTAGTGGAAACCGAGTTTGCTGGTGAGGGTACGTGTCGTCGAGCGACGACGCGAGGATCAACGCACCACCGTTCGAATTTTACGGCACCGATCCTTTCAACGAATATTACTATGGCCGACAACGTGAATGCGAATGGAATTTCGTAAAAAATGAAAGCTCGAATACGGGTGCACGCCGTTGTGTTTGGAAGATAATGCACTCGTCGCTTCGTTAAAATTCATTTGCCGATACTATTCCGCTCGCCGAGATCTTCAATTGGGCATAAGGGATTATACCAATGGATGTACCGATGTTTCTTTTGTTAATGAACGAATATATAGCTTAATCCCGTATTATTTAATTAGTAATACAGGATGTCACAGTGAGACAATGAATATTGTTAATGTAACACAAATTTTTGGGATCGTATCGTGTTGTTTAATTAGGAAACGTAATGCAGGATGTTGCAGTGGAATAATGAATGTTGTTCACGTAACACAGATTTTTGGGATCAAATAGAATTAGTATTTAATATGGAAATAAATTTAATTGTTTCATAGATATTATATAATGAGGAGATAAATGGATTTGATTTAATATTTATGAAGCATTAGAAGCTGTCTTGTTATCGAATAAAGATAGATATTGATAGTAAATTATAATGATTTGTATATCCAGAATAGGGTATACATTGTTTGTTCAATTGATAAATGTTAGTTGTAATATCATTTTAAACTTGCAAAGAATTATTTTATGTCTATTCTATGAATATTTTTATGAAACTGTAGACTATTCGTCAGTATTAGTATGGGAACTACTTTTCCATAATTGCCTACCTAATTACAGTCAGTTCACTACATTTACATTTATATTTCTTAGATTTCTAATACCTCCGAAGGATCAGATACGCATTTGATATTTAAAGAACATCTTTATCAAATACTATCAACAGTATTTTACCATATAATGTTGGATAATAACAATTAGAGTAATTAAATAATTCTACCAATTTAGTACATGAAGCATTTGCTGTTCCACATTCCACTGTTAGCAAATTTATAACAGAACCTTACGTTAAATACTTAAAAAAACTTTCGATACCTTTATAATACAATTTACAATTAACACTTACAGTTTATACAGAATTTTCTAAAAGTATTAGGAATACAATTCATTATTATTCAGCTTACCAATACATCTATTATAGTACTTGTTACAAGCATGAGTGGATATATTCACAAATTGAAAATATCACATTTTTACTAATTTCTTTGCATCCAATTATATTTTACAGAGTGCCACGTCTCCTGGCGCCAGCAACGATGGCCTCACGAAACAGCAATTGGAGCTCATCCAACAGATCATGCAACAAACCCAGCAACAGCAACAGCAACAACAACAGCAGACATCCGCGCAACAGCAGCAACAACAACGCACCACCACGTCAGCGACCGTCACGACACAGATCCAAAAAACCCAGAAACCGTCCGTCAAGTCCACAACCTCGTCCAGCAGTGTCTCCAGCAACACTGGAAGTTCGAGCGCGACCAGCAACGCTAGGTCCAGCCCGAAACCGAAAGTCTGGAGTCACGTACAGGTGAGTGAAATTTTCTGAAAATATTCTTACGTAATTTGAAGGTGCGTATCCGCTTGTTGCATATCCTCGTATCGTATCACCGTTGTAATTACCACGGAATCATTAGTTGAAATGACTTCTTTCATTTCGTACAACTTTCATAACGAATGGTGAATTCCACGTTGATAAAATAAAATAAAACCACAACAGAGATTTAAATGTGACAGATATTTACTTTCATATACAGAGTGTTTCCAAAATGGTGGTATAACTCGGAAGGATGTGATTTTACATGCAAAAACAAGTCGAAAATGTTGAAGTAATATTTCTTCATACGATGCTTCATTTCCAAGATAATCAATTTTCAAAATTCATCAGACCAGTATGTATTCACAGTGTTAATTAAAGAAAATTCACTCAACGAAAAAATATGTAAAAATGAAATAATTATTTTTTTAACAACATTTCTTACATTGATGCTTATAATTATATAATTACTTTTCATATTGAAGTACATAGTCATTTGTTGCATTTAGACTAATATAAGTAGTATCAGTAGAAACATAATGCAATGCACAGACGCGTTGTCCAAGTCCTCTTTGCCAAGATATTCAATTCCTCGTGTATCCAGCAGATTTTCAAATTCGATTTTCTTCAAAACGAAGCATCGTAAGAAAAAATGTTTCAATTTTACAATTTTTTCATTGACTTACATAAAATTTAGCTACCTGATCAATTATATTTTTTATTCACATTTCTTTGAAGGCATACTTAAGGATCATTTTGTAATGTATGTGTATAAAATGATCCCCGGGTATCATTTTATTTATTACATTTTATTTAAATAAAAACAGCTTTGACGCGTTGTTTTTCTTTCATACTGACGGAGCATTGTTGTAACTAAAAGAAAAAAACAATAATATAGCATATAGGTAAAATGATTCCTGGGATCATTTTATCCTACTAGAGAGGGATCATATGACCCCAAACTCCCAACTCACATTTAGTGGTTGAATATAACATCAACTTATTACATGCGGTAACGAAACATTAATTAACTTATTATTGAATTGTGTTTAAATCCGTGCAAGAAGCAGCTGTCACATTAAACCGTTTATGACAAAAGTTACACAACATTGAAAAAGACCTTATCTTAGATAAATTGCAGTAATTTTAAACTTTTCTTGTAAACAAAACACAGAGCACTGATATTCACATGGCACTTCGAGCAACGACTAGTGACGTGCGGGGACAACTATTGTAGAAGGACATTACGATATAGCACCACTAATAGCCACAGGGCAGCCAGGAATCATTTTACCCCGAGGGATCGTTTTAGACACCTTTCCCCTACTTTCGAAAAAATGCAATAAAGAAAATTCGATTTTTCGACTGTCTAGTCCCTTTAATACCGACTGAACATTGTGGTTGCAGCGAGGGGCATGCATCATTCGCAGTATTTCGTGTCGGACGCGTAAGCATTTTAATGAGACAGTACGCGGACCCGCGTTCAATGATATATTATAGCATTACAATTGATCAGTGATAACCCGTTAAAGTACCGGATCGTGTTCGCTTAAATTATGGAGGGAATCCCGTTTACCTCGGTCTAATTCGCGTCGGCCCTCTTTTCGGGCAGCGCGCGCTATAATTTGTCAATTTGCGTTACCTTCTCTTCTAGACAGTCAGTGTAATTAATTTGTTACTACGCTTTCTGAACTGGCACGCTACGATTTCCATGACTTTGGCCTGAGGGTCGTAATAAAGGCACGTCAAATAATTTGCGAGCGGCAATCATGTCTGGGAATTTTGGAATTGTACTGTCGTCCGTAAGTCATCGGATTGTTGGTTTCTTTGATTGATATGGAGATTTTTATACACTTTTCTGAAGCAATTTTAGTGCAATATTTTACTGTAATCAATTAAAGTGTAGAGGTTATACAGAATGTGAAACATTCATGGTACATTTGAATGCACGATGTTTCTTCTGTAAAAGTATAATAAGAGTTTAATAATAGTTTAGTTGAAGAAGCTACGGTAGAGAATAATATCATTTGCGTAATTTGGCATCCAAATTGATACACGGGAATATTCTTTAATTCAGGAAAGAGGCAAAGACTGTTACAGAAAACGATCGAACAAGAATAATTTCGAATTCAGGGACAATTATATTTTTATTTTCGTGCAATTTTGGTTTCACCGAAGGGTGATATATTCAAGAAGTTTTCAAACAGAAGGTTAGTAGTGAAACAGAAAAATTCTTTAAGCCACAACGAGAGATTTTCAAAGAAGAGATTAGAAATGGAACAAAAAGATTTTGTAAGTTACCAAAATATAATATTTCAAAACTTTTCAAACAAGAGATTAAAAATAAGAGAGAAAATTTTCGTAAATTACCATAGTGTGATATTGGAAAAATGTGCAGACAAGAGATTATTAGGATTAAAACAGAAAAATTCTTTGAACTTCCGAGGTACAATATTTCCAAGATTTCTGAAAAAGAGATTAGGCATAAAACAGCGAAAATTCTTTAAGTAACCAATGTGTATATTCAACAAATTTTTAAACAAGCGATTAGAAATAAGACAGAAACGTTTCTTAAATAACCAATATGTAATATTAAAAAAATGTTCAGAAAAGAGGTTATTGTAAGCGATTAGAAATAAGACAGAAACATTTCTTAAATAACCAATATGTAATATTAAAAAAATGTTTAGAAAAGAGGTTATTAGGAATAAAACAGAACAATTGTTTAAGCTATCCACCATGTGTGGGGGCGATGCGATCTTCTGCGCAATAAAAGCAGTCGTGCCGAGTGACGTACATACATACGTTTCCGAATTGTTGATACAAGAAATACAATCGGCAAACACTGACGTTGTTGCCACAAGGAGTTCAGTTCCCAAACCACCTAAACATATCAACCACCACGGCTCGTATGTCAACTTAATCGATCTAATAGTAGTTACCCAGTCCACCCACCGGTCAAATTGTTTACTATAGCTCCAATCTATCCGTAAGAACAATAAACAATAAGCGCCCCGTGCATTTGTGCAAATATACAGAAAGTAATCCTCACTTCCTTCTGTTTTTCGTTCTGGTTACCGCACGTTAAATTTGCAAAGTTAGATAAATCCGGAAGCATTAAGCCGTATCCACCCTTAGAAAAATATTATTTCTATGGAACTACTAAAAGTTATTATTATCATTCTTAGGTACATTATTGATAGTGATTAATTATTTCGATATCTGTTACTATAAAATTGTTCTAATTTGCTATAACTTTCGCCCTTTTTCTGGATATAATTATATTCCCTGTCGATAAAGTAGAATCAAAATGCCAATTTAATTCACGACGACCATAAGTTTTACATACAACTAATATTAATAGTAACATTACTTATTTTCTTAAATATATTCTACGTTTATCATCCGTGTTGGTTATTTAACACGTTCACTGCCAACTACGAGATAACTCCGAGTTGAAACATTACGAAGAGGCTGCATTATTTAAATACCTATACAAAATTTTTGAATAAAATTAATATCGTAGTATAATTTAAAACAAGACAAACCGCCTGTATTAACTAAACGCATATATTTCCGACGATTTATGACTTAAAAAACGAAATAAATTGTGTCTGGCTACGTACGGCCTTTTCCACTGTGGTGGTCAATGTATTAAATAAATTACCGAGAAATATTCCGATTAAAAGTCGATATCCATTCCACAAAAAAAACGTGAAACAGATAGTTTTGCAACAATAAATTCTTCTATTATTCTGTCGTAAATGCTTCAACCCTCCGTCGGCAATACGGATCATTGACGACTCAAATGAATTCCCATTGTTCCCAGATTTACCTCCGTATATTTTCACTGAAAGAAAGTTTCAAACATTCGACTTAACGAGCGATTATATCATGCAATAGAGAGACTTTCGTAACTTTCCGGAATTTTTCAGATTTTTTGGATAGCATGAAACAGTAAAAAAAAGATTAGACTCTAGCATAAGTAATTCAATTTACCCATAGATTATGAAAAAAATCTGCCTATGGAGAGTTAAAAATAGTACAGATCGTTTTATAACGGTGGTCGCTTTAATCACGAAATTGTTAAAACATAGGTCGAAAAATGAATACTTTCGAAGTTATAAATAATTTTTCCTTCCGTAAGGAAACAATGGATTACCTTACCATTCCTTCATTTTCTGGTTACAGAAGGTTTTCGACAGTTTTTACTAGATTTCATACAATTTTCTTCCCTACTTCCATACTGTACGATATCTCCTAAAACTAGAAAGTCACTAGCTTCAACCAAAACGAAAAATCATTTATAATTTCAAAAATAATTTTTTGGAATAATTAATCAGAGCCTTTCTTGATCCTTTGGAGAATACTATCCACCCTAGAAGTTACGAATTCTTTTTCTGTATCACCCTGTACATGTACAATAATATGAAATCTCAATGAGTACTTCGGTTAATTTTTTTAACGACCTGCGACGAATACAGGACGGTAGGTCTAAATAGGTTAAAGTCACCCTTGGAAACGGGGCAGGGTCCTTAATATTCTTGTTCTCTCGTTAGTCGTCTCGCGTGCGCCGAACGATCAACAATTAACCAACAAACATATGCAAGGATCGCAGTCTGAATACCGTCGGTCGTGCCCCTATTTTATCACGTTCTTCGTATCTCGAATGACCCAGCAGCGGGGCGCCCGACCACCGGAACCTTTACCGCGCGCGCCTAACTTCATTACGTTAATGGCATAATAACCATTGTGGGTGGCGGTAGAGACGACGGGGCTTATGCGCCTGAAACGTCGGGTGTCCCTAAACAGAGCAAGAACCAAGCACAGCCTGAAATCGATCGGATCGCCATTAATATGTATGAGATCTTTGCTGATAGAGAGGTGGCGCTGGTGGGGTGGAAACAGAAGGGGGTGGGTGGGAGTGGGTGAAGAAATCGGAATCGTCGTTACCGCTCGAAGACGAACTACGGTAGCGACGTAGTCCTTGGGAC